TATATATATAGCATACAGTCCAATTCTAACCTAAAATTCACCTCTCAGTTTGCCGAATGTACGAAAGTGCCTGTTATGGATGCAGCACTGGACTTCAATCTACCTGTCCCGCCTCTGTGGCGCCTTGAGAGGGGGGTGGATGTGGCTGCCGTCTTTGACAATAGCAAAGCACATCTGATACTAGACACGGATGAGAAGCTGATGGTATGTATGGCATGTTGGTATGAACCGCTAATTGTGTGTCAAACTACAGATGGATAGTACGTGTGACATGTAGGTATTGGTAAGCATGTCATGTTGATACGAGACGTTAATTGTGGGACCTTTTTTCGACTAGGGAACACACAATGTACGCGGGGTTTACCCATCATACACAGCACGCACTCTATTGTATACAGAATTAATACATCATGCACTCTATCTCAACTAACTAAATACACATTCTATACTGTACTTCACCTTCATATACATCATGTACTATATTTTTAGCTATCAAACACACCATCTATTCGGTGCTTACTCATCATCATGTACTATATTTTAAGCTATCAAACACACCATCTATTCTGTATCTACCCATCATGCACATGATGTTTACTTACCACAGGGTCGTGAACTGACTCTGGCGGCATTTAGTGCTAACCGCAATGGGCATTCGTTTCCGAAGTTAAAGCAGAAGTGTGTCTGGGATGGAGGTGAGTGGGCACGTTGCCATTGTAGGGTTTAGTATTTATATAGACGTAGGGGCTAGAGCTCAAAACACTGAACCCTAAACCCTTAAAAATCTTGTCGGAAATGTATATCCCTAAGTCTGAACCTGTGGTGCCTTATGTTGACCCACACAATTGCTATAACAGTAGGTGTGTTCGATGGTCTTGTGAATTTCTCTTATGTTATACTCTACCTATAAAGGTATGCGAATCGAAAACCGTAGTATGTGCATAGAGATATACTTACCTATTTAACGATATATATACAAAAATTTGCATAGTTTTCTGACGGACACCTATTCATTGTGTGTTTT